TGGTGGCAGTAGCGATGCTTGGCTCCTGCTTTCATGGAGTCCAGGGCCTGCACACCTCTTCCTCTTACTCCCTTTCCCCTGATGCTTAATTGTGGGTGGGGTGGAAGGAAGAAAAGAGGAAACAGCAGCAGGCTTAGGAGCTGAAAGCAGGATCTCCAGGCAGACTAACCAGTGAGCGCTTGGAGTTCACAGGCCATGAGGGGCTGCACTGACATGCTGGTGAACTCTGAGAGCTCACTGACATCCAGGATCACAGCAAAGGGCTGCCTTATACCTACAATCTTTTCAGCTATGTGACACTTCTGCTATAAGCTGTCTTCACTTTGCATGTACCATGCAGCTGAAGGGGGTGTGGCTGCACACACGTCACTGCAATCCTGGATCCATCCATGGAGCCTGGTAATTACGTGGCTCACAGTCTGATTCAGCAAAGAATGTAAACATGTGCTTAAATCCCTATTTGCTCCAAAAGGCTAAGCTCATGGTCAAAATTAAACATGTGTTTAAGTTCTTTTCTGAATTGAGGCCTAAAATACCATTCTGAAAATGTATTTTAAGCCAAATGTTAGGCTCTCTGTGTCTTTTCTACAATGAAGGAAAAAACAGAAATATACCTCTGGGTAAGGAATTTTCTGAGCAAGAAAGGAAAAGTTTAGATTTTAGTCCACAGTTTGATTTATTTGGAAACTCACTCCTGTAGTAGAAACTAACTCCGTGGTTCTGTAAGGAATTAAGACAGTGTACATGCAATGGGCCAGTTGTGGCTGGCTGAGTACAGATGAAGATAATGATGACTTACAGACTAGCTCAAATACATGTATAAAGTAAAAATCCTGGATCTTCATAGCCTGGCTGGGTCAGTGTTATTTGTACCATCAGCCCTGTGGTATTCCAGTATTGTGTGGCAGGGCCTGGGACGTTCCATTCTACTTCAACTGGGGAACTAATACAGGTCCTTACATGGAAGTAATACATGCTACTTTCTTCAAAGTGGAGGTATTAAATTTATTTTTGTGTGTGTATGTGTGCGCATGCGCGCATGGTAACCTCACTCTCCTCCCAACATAGATTCTCCTAGGGCATGTCCAGATGAGCCTGCACATGTGGTTTGCAGCATCTCAAAGCCCTTTGAGATACTGCAAGAGGCACTTGTGGGAATTAGATCCCTGGATAAAAAACTGCAGTGGAAAAAAGTGGGGCCTGAGACAACCAGAGGCTGGGTCCTCTACAGAGACACTCTGGTAGCAGCCAGAGCATCTCTGTGGCTGGCCCTCACCCTGGTGCTGAAGCACACTGCCTGCCCATGCAGGACAGGCAGTATGCCAGCTGCAGGGAGCAGGACCTGGGCTTCAGTGCCATTAAGTAGGGACTGGGGGGGCTGGAGGGTGGGGAAGGGACCTTGTGGGGGGACCTCTGCCGACTCCCCCAGCCCCCTGGATCGCTGCCCCACCTAACCCCATGCCCTGGCTCTCCCCCGAGCCCCTGCATTGCTGCCCCTCTGGGCCCCAGCATCCCAGCAATTAAAAAACAAACAAACAACGCCCCCCCAGCACTCACTGGCAGTAGCAGCTGCCATCAGGGTCACTGCCCCCTCACCGCAAAGCACGGGGCCGGGTGACAGCTGCAGCAACCCCAGCTCAGGCCCTGCTGCCCCCCCGCTGCCCCATGCTGCATGGGGAGGGGCTCTGCCAGGAGGCCCCAGAACACCCACAGCCCCTGCTACTGCAGTGAGTACAGGCTTTTATTTTTCCTAAGTCCTGGAGGCTGGGGTCGGGGGGTTGTCATTGGGAGGCTGGGGGTGGAAGTGAGGGAGGGGGCCGGGCAGGGCAGCCATTGGGGGGGGG